GGGAAAAGTAATTTAATATAAATGTGCTAACAATAGCAGAATAAATATGTACCAAAAAATATGTATCATCGTTTACTGAACCATTCCATCATGAGGGGTCAAGTGGTTCACCCAATAACAATGCAATTCTGATTTCCCTGACGTTTACGAGAGACCAATTCACAAATAAAGGCAATTGATCCCTGCTTTTATCATCAGGTTTTGTAACTCATACTTGAAAAAAATAACAATTTAATAGATAAAGCTCAGAAGCCAAGCGTAACAAGTGAATTTCATCGAAGATCCAAGCTGATCCAAGCTTAAAATAGATCTTCTTACGTGTTAGCAACTCATCATCGCCAAATAATGGAGGAAAATTAACACAAATAATTTAGCTACTTTTAATTTGAAGGAATGCTTAGCAAAAAGCAGAACACCCTCCAATCGTGATAAGCAGCTTTTTATAGGCACCGTGCAAAAGGTAGTTTTTCATAGAAATAAATAAACCCCCGTTGTCTGAGAAATGCCTGCCTCTCCTCCAACAATCAAAATTACATAGAAATTCTGAATATAAATTTAGTATATACCAAAAAATATTGTGTCATGAGAAAACAATGATTCTCATGGGTCTTCATTTTGGAAATTGGTTTATTTAGGCTTCATGCGGCAGACGGGTTACCATTAACTGGTACTTGCTGCTGACTCTTTTGTGAAGCCATTTTTTTACTTTACAATCAAAATCATATAATAATATCACAAATATTATTCGAAAAATATAAAATTAGGGAAAAAACAGAAAAACTAAATAAAGATTAAGAGGAAAACTAGTTACCAACAACAATCAAAATCTGAAGACGAGCAAACTTAGCAGATAGGTTGCTCAGGCGGAGCAAAGGAGAAGAGACGGCAGCAGCCAAGTGAAGTGGGGCGGCATTGGTGGATTAGTGTTTATTTCAGGGTAGGCTTACTACTGTATATATAGCGTTTACAGAGAAAACCCTAATACGGAGAAGGTTTTATAATTGCAATGAAGGACAAATCTTTTGCAGGTCTTACACCTCGATATAGCTGTTATGTGTGAAGTGGTTCCGAGACCCGGTCATGTCACGTACGAAAGAAGAAATTGAGCGAATGACCCTTAACTTTTGTAAGTTCCTGAATAAGTCCTCATTTTTTAAACCTTACTCAAGTAGGCTGTACATAATTTGGTAATTACCGTATCGAAATCGAAAATTTTGGTATATGGTATTCGATATTTTGATATTTGGTATTCGATATTTTGGTAGTCGGTATGTTATTTGGTTTAAGTTTAAAAAAAATTGATATTTGGTATTTTAAATAAAATACTGAAATACCGATATCGTACCGAAATATATATTACACAATACACATATTATTAGTTATAACATAGATATAAGAAATCTAAAATTTTACTTTCCTTTATTCTCTAAGTTCATCAATTAACTCTAAGCAAGTCACATGACATTTATAATAATTAAATTTATTCTTTTATGTACAGTTTTCTCTCTCTGGGTTGGTATTGGACAAAACTTTTGTCAACAAACATTTTTAGTTTTGTACTTTCGAGTACTTTAATTAAGAATATTACCGTCTATGTCTCTATGCACTAGTTAGGATTCAAATCGAATAAACCGAAGTTACCGAACCGAATAAACTAAAACCGAAAGGAGAAAAACCGAACCATACCGAATTTAATTAGGTACGGTATTGATATAGCATTTTAAGAAATCGAATACCGAAAATACCAAAGCAAAATATCTAAATACCGTACCATATAGACGGACGAACACCCCTATACTCAAGTGTTTCATGCGTAGAACTCCTATTTTCCAAGTTTTACTAATAAATTGTTTCTGTGGGCTAAAGAGCAATTATATTATCTTAAAATCGAAAAGAATGAGTTATGTGCGTAGAAAATTTAAAAGTTATTGCTTGTGGTTAAAATTGAGCGGGTAATGTTTTATTGTGCTTGTATTATCTATCCTTAATGATTTATGTTGGTCTGGTTGAGAAAATTTAAAGATTATCATTGTTGGATTTTATTGAACTTGAAAAAAATGTCGAACAAGACATAGTAGATCTATTAATTTCGTTTTGGGTTGAATGTAATCAATGAAAAATACTGAAATTGGTACTAGAAAGTTGAATATCAACTTTGAAGATATTTGGAGTTTATTTTAATCAATTTTAAATAAAAACATGTTGGTAAACTTTTATATGTACAAGTTATGACGATCCATCCATCACACCTTGTGGCGATCGGTTAGGATTAGTGAACTATTTTATCAAAGTTATGATTATCAAAAATACAGCAATGAGACAGTAGCCTTCTCACTAGGTCAGCTAAGAGTGCGGCTGCAACAATGGAGTATCCTCAGATCTGTGATTTCGAGATTGCATGACAATGGAGGAGGAGGAACATTCCAGAACAAATCAATTTCATTTCCTCTAAATTGTTCAGCATCTCTACATACATGCACGTGGCGTATATATACAGAGTAGTCGACTATGCTAGAAGGAAGAAAAGAAGCTAGTATACACCACTAACTACCAGCTAATTGGACAGCTGTCTAAACTACCACTAACTAACTCAACCACTAATTAACAATTTGACTAAGCTAATAGTAATAAAATAATTAATCTCAACACCCTCCCCCCCCCCCCCCCCTCAAGTTGGAGGTGTTGCAAACACAGCCAACTTGCGTATTGTGGAGTCATGCTTGATTCCTGTCAAGGCCTTAGTTAGAATATCTGTCAATTGATTGTCTGTAGCAATGTGGTGGAGTGAGATTAGCCTTGCTTGTAGTTGATCGCGCACAAAGTGACAGTCCACTTCTATGCGTTTGGTCATCTCGTGGAAGACTGGATTCCTAGCAATGTGGAGTGCAGATTGGCTGTCACAGTATACTGAAACAGGCAATGAGAATGGGACACTTAGTTCCTCAAACAGCCTATTCAACCACACTAGTTCTCCCACCACCTTTCTTAAGACCCTGTACTCTGATTCTGCTGAAGAGAGTGAAATAGTTTCTTGTTTCTTGGACTTCCAACTAATAGGGGTGTTTTCCAGAAGCACCAAGTAGCCTGTGACAGATTTCCTAGAATCTGGACAACTAGCCCAATCTGCATCACAATATACTCTAATGGTGTAGTCTTTGTCTTTGGACATGAAAATTCCCATAGTGGGATCACCCTTTAAATACCTAAGGATGTGAAAAGCTGCTTGTAAGTGTGGCTCTCTAGGTTCCTGCATAAATTGACTCAGGTGCTGACCACCATATGCTATGTCCAACCTAGTGTTAGTTAGGAAATTTAGCTTTCCAACCAATTTCCTGTAGTATATAGGATCATGTAAAATATCACCTTCCTTAGCTTTCAACTTCACTGTAGGATCTAAAGGCGAGGCACATGACTTACAGTCAAGGCAATTATACTCCTTCAGCATGTCTAGTACAAACTTCCGCTGAGAAATGATCACACCATCATCTTTGTACATCACCTCTAGTCCCAAGAAGAAATGGAGCTCCCTCAGGTCTTTAATCTTGAACTTCTCATGCAGAAAATTTTTCAAGTCTGTGATTTCTTCTTCATCAGTTCCAGTGAGAAGCACATCATCAACATACACTGCAAGGTATACCAGTGAGTCCCCATTCTTCTTGTAAAAGAGAGAATAATCATTCATGGAGTGTGTGTAGCCTCTTGAGTTATCCATAAGGCCTCAGTCAACTTTGCATACCACTGTCGACTGGCTTGCTTTAATCCATAAAGAGACTTGTTTAGCTTACATACCAATCCAGCTTTGTCCACAGCAAGTCTAGGGGGAATTTGCATATATATATATATATATATATATATATATATATATATATATATATATTATATATATATATATATATATATTTCCTCATTAAGATCCCCATGAAGAAAGTCATTGTTTACATCTAGCTGGGATATGCACCAGCCTTTCTTTACTGCTGTGGCTATCAGTGCTCTTACTGTTGTCATCTTCACTACTGGAGAGAATGTTTTTGTGTAGTCTATGCCTGCCTGTTGTGTATAGCCTTTCACAACCAACTTGGCCTTGAACCTTTCAATACTGCCATCTGCTTTATGTTTCACTTTATAAACCCATTTGCATCCTATTGCTTGCTTTCCTGGTGGTAGAGCTACTAGGCTCCAAGTGTTATTGGAGTAAAGAGCTTCAAACTCCTGTGTCATTGCAGCCTGCCATGCAGGATCAACAACTGCATCCTCATATGATGATGGTTCCCTGTCAAGGCAAACATTTCTCACAAGAACTTGACTGTTAGGAGTTAATAGATCAGAGGCAACATGGTGGTTCACAGAAAATAATGCACTAAGGGAGTTGATGATTGGTTTAAGCTTAGGTAGGGAATGTATATAGTCTTGTAAGTAACTAGGTGTTTTATGTGTTCTTGATGACTGTCTCAGTTGTATGGGTTCTGCAGTAGGCTGTTCAATGTATCCCTGTGGTGAAGATTGTGTAGGAGGCTTAGGTGACAAATGATCACGTGTAGGTGACATGCGATTAGTTGTGTTCTCAACATTACCCCCTTGAGCATCTAAATGATCAGATGTTTGTTGTACATTATCTGTACTATCAGAGGGCTGAATGAAAGGAATTGAGCATGGGAAATTAGACTGGGGACACATTTCTAAGTTGGTTGCAAATGGAAATACATACTCATTGAAAGTGACATCTCTGGAAACAGTGATCTTCCTAATGGCCAGACTTAGGACCTTGTATCCCTTTGTGTTGAAAGGGTAACCAACAAAAACATGTGGTGTTGTTCTAGGTTCAAATTTATCTCTATGGGTTTAGGTACAGTAGGGTAGCATAGACACCCAAAACTCTTCAGGTGAGAGTACTTTGGCTTTTTCTTGTATAGCAATTCATAGGGGGTTTGGTTACTGATGGAAGTATAAGGTAATCTATTTATGATGAAGGTTGCACACAGAATACATTCCCCCCAATATTTCTAGGGTAATTTGGACTGAAATAGGAGAGTCCTGGCTGTCTCAAGGAGATACTTATATTTTCTTTCCACTACCCCATTTTGTTGTGGGGTATAAGGGCAGGTCCTTTGATGTATGATGCCTTTTGACTGCAATAGCATGGTTGTTTCTGTGTTAGTAAACTCTAGTCCATTATCTGTTCTCACAGCCTTAACTTTTTCTCCAAATTGGTTTTCCACCAAATTGAGAAATCCTTTGAGGACTTGATAAGCATTGCCTTTACTAGAGAGAAGGTGAGTCCATGTACTTCTGCTGAAATCATCTACAATAGTCATGAAGTACTTATATTTTTCATGTGTGGGCACATGGTATGGTCCCCATAAGTCAATGTGCAAGAGTTCAAGAATCTTATTGGTTGTGTTGGTTTTCTGAGGAAAATAAAGTCTCTCTTGTCTGGCCATTGGGCAAATGGTGCAGCTAAAGGGTTGTTTGGAGGAAAAAGTTACAGGAAGGGAGACAATATTCTTCATTTTCACAAAGGGAACATGTCCAAGTCTGTTATGCCACAAGACATCCACTTGGTCTCTAACACACATATAAGAAGAAGAACTAGAGTAATTAGACAAGGAATTCTCAATAGGAAACTGTTTTTCATTGCCTGCACTTGGACTATTTACAATAGAGGATGAAAGAACACACTTATTGGCATGGGGTGCTATATTCACAACAGAGTGGAGAGGACATTGTGTGTTACAAGTGCAGTGAGTGATAGGAGCTAACATGAAATCAGTGACACTTGGGCTAGGACCTGTGCTGTTGTTCTTCAAACACCTTGGACACAGAATGTAGAGTCCATCCTTGACTCTACCAATCACCAGAGGCCTCTTCATTGAAGGGGCCTGCAGAATGCAACAAAACTTGATGAATGCAACAAGACAATTTAAATGAGAAGCTAGAGAATGAACAGAAATCAGGTTGTATTTGAAAGAAGGGACTAACATCACTCCATTCAGTATGATCTCAGGTGTAAGTGCAACACTACCAATCTCAGTCACCTTCACTTTGTAACCATTTGGGAGAATAACAAGCAGGGGATAAGGTAAGGCTATTATATTGGTTACTAATGATCTATTGAAGGTCATGTTGTTTGATGCCCCTGAGTCTATAATCCATGAATCAGTCTTGTTTTTGAAACATTCACATGATAGTTTCCCAAAATCAATAGAGGAGGTGCAAGCTATTATACCTGCAAAGTTTGCTGATAAGGTATTAACATTGTCTAGGTTGTCTCTCACTCCTCCTGTTTGGAACTGTTACAGCAGGTTCACAAGTTGACTGTATTCCTACTTTGTGAGACTGACATTCTGAGTGTTACAGTTCTCATGACCAGCATCTTGAGTATCTGTGGCTGCTACATGAGCATTAGTTATTCCTCTATTTCCCCTATTGAATCTGGCACCTTGTGTTGTACCTGAATTATTCCCATGGTTATTGTTTTGCCTTGGGTTCTGATTGAAATTGGAAGCTTGGTTGTAACTGAGGTTTGGATTCTGATTCTGATTTGAGCCTTGAGGATAGCCATGAAGCTTGTAACATTTCTCTTTTGTGTGACCTGGTCTTTTACAGTAATCACAGAAGGGTCTATTCCTATAGTTTTGAGTGATGTTAGGAGAATAATTTGTTCTGAATGATGTTGTCCTGCCTGTGTTAACATTCAAGGCTGATGACTCAAGAGCTAAGTAGTTGTGAAGCTTGATTTCCCTTTGTCGTTCTTCCTGAATCAATAGAAAGAAAGCCTGTGCAATTGTGGGAAGCGGATTCATCATGAGGATACTCCCTCGAACAACAGTATATTCCTCATTCAGTCCCATAAGGAACTGTATTAGTCTCCTGTCCTGCTCTGCCTTGTGCATATTCTCCTTTGCTCCACATGTGCAGTTGCATGTGCAATGAGACTTGGCAATCAATGTAGTGAGTTCCTCCCACAACTTCTTCATTTTTGTGTAATAACCAGTGATGTCGAGTGCTCCTTGAGATAGGTCGTTAATCTCCTTTTGAATTTGGTAGAGTTTTGTTCCATTTGTTTGATCATATCGATCTTCAAGTTCCTTCCACAATTCGACTGCATCTGTCACATATTCTACACTATCTGCAATCTCCTTTGCTAATAAGTTCAAAATCCACGAAGTTACCATATCATCATATCTCTCCCACAATCGATAGTTTGAGGAATCTAGATCTGGCCTTTTGCAATCACCATTGATGAAGACCAATTTATATTTCACAGAAAGGGACCTCATCACACCCCTTCTCCATGAGCGATAGCCAAAACCATCAAAGGGGACAGGAACCAAAGCTATTCCCGGATTGTCAGAAGGATGCATGTAAAGAGGACTACTAGCATCAACAATTGGTCGATTTAGAGTTTCAGTCACATTAGGTGCAGGTCGTTCAGTTTCTTCGTCATTAGCCATTTCTTATAGCATAAGGTTCAAATGAGGTTCGATCAACTCAGAATTAAAAAAAATGAGGATTCAGAGGAGTAATGGAGATTTCAAGAGGAAAACTGTTGCAATCCATGAAATCGAGGTCTGTGTGCACTCGATTAGAAAAACGAAAAACAGAATGTAAAAATTACAATCTTAGATTCAACCGATCTGGAAAATGAATCGAAATTTCTAACCTTGCTCTGATACCATATCAAAAATACAGCAATGAGACAATAGCCTTCTCACTAGGTCAGCTAAGAGTGCGGCTGCAACAATGGAGTATCCTCAGATCTGTGATTTCGAGATTGCATGACAATAGAGGAGGAGAAACATTCCAGAACAAATCAATTTCATTTCCTCTAAATTGTTCAGCATCTCTACATATATGCACGTGCGTATATATACAGAGTAGTCGACTAAGCTAGAAGGAAGAAAAGAAGCTAGTATACACCACTAACTACCAGCTAATTGGACAGCTGTCTAAACTACCACTAACTAACTCAACCACTAACTAACAATCTGACTAAGCTAATAGTAATAAAATAATTAATCTCAACAATGATAATTTGTACTACAATCATGAGATCAATTAGGATTATGAATAATGTTGATATCCAATTTTGTCCTATTTTTCTTTTGATTAATTTTTTGGTGCTCCCTAGTTATTACTAATAATCTAAGACTCAGTTTCTTAATTATTTATTATTATTATTATTACAACTATTATTACAATTATAATTATTGGAGTAATTACTACTATTACTATCACTATTAATACTTTCATTATGATTATTATTGAGTTAATCACTTATTTTAATATGTAATATTACATATGCTCAAGTATTTTTATTGAGTCCAACTTATAAAGATATGGGAGCAGAAAGAGACCTTGAAAATCTAGCCCAGAAGTCACTCTAACCGGTCCATTAGTAACCCACTAGATCTCTTGCAACTGCTTTAGCTCATTGTGAAAATTGCACGGGGCGCCCTATTTGGTCGCACCTATACCCATATTTTTAAAATTATTTAACCTATACCCTAATTTTAACAACTTCAGACGCCTCCTTTTCTTCCTCCTGACCTATGCGTTCCTTTCTTCCTCCTCTTCTTTTCTGATGAGTTCTCCAGTTTAGGATTTTGAGAGTTCATGCTGAATTGTATCTCTTAGTTCATGGCAATATGCAAGAATAAAACCGTCATCTTCGCTCTCCGAATTTGCGTTTCTTGGTAATACATGGTTTCATTGGTACTGTTGCCTTTTTCTTCTGCCCGCATACTCGCCGGACTGGAATTATTAAATAAAACTTTAGACTTGGGCATCTGAAGTTCGCCAATAGCAGCGCCTAACTTCAGACTCAAATATCTGAAGTTTATACTTTAGTATATGAAGTATATACCCCATATGTTTGATAATCCTAGCCAAATATCTGAAGTTCTTGACCAAATGTGTGAAGTTTATGTCAAAATATCGGAAGTTTATATCAGAATGACTGAAGTTCATAGAAAAATATCCGAAGTACACAAGTGAACTGAAGTTTGCCCTTGCTTATGAATTGAAGTTTGCGTGATTGACTTTGCAAGTCGGGCCAAATTTCAGGCAAAAATATCTAAAGTTTTGCTTTGATAAGGCTACATTTCAGGCAAAAAATTATGAAGTTCAAACTTCAGACATACACAATTGAACTGAAGTTTGCCCTTGCTTAAGAACTGAAGTTTGCGTGATTGCCTTTGCAAGTCAGGCCAAACTTCAGGCAAAAAATTCTGAAGTTCAAACTTCAGACATAAATTTTTGCTACTTTAGGCCCGTATGTCTGAAGTTACGCGAAAAGTGGGTATGCTTGCAATTTTTTTTGCAAAGCGGGTATAAGTTAAAAGGTGGCCCAAAGATTAGGTATAGATACAAATGCTCCTAGCTCGTTAGGATTATTCAAAGCCCACTCTTCGATAGCTCAAACCAAGCAAATTAGCCATCACCCAAGCCCCGTTCACTGTCTTTTGGAAGGTGAATCCGACTTCTCTTTTACTTATTTAATTCGTTCGCTCAAAGGGTCCTGCTTGTTTAGAAATTCATGTTGTAAGATCTTATTTTATGTGTATATCATGTTGAAATGAAAATTAAAATATGACCAGAAGTCTACTTTGGTTAAATTAAATTTTTTGCTAAATGTCACAACTTATATGTGATGACCCAAAGGGTCATCTTTTGTTTTAGAACCCGAATCTGTATTCCGAGGCCTTGAAAACCTCATTTTCTTTCTCCTCGATTTGCGTGCGCAGTCCGAGCGCGTTTTCGAAAAGCCTTTATGTGAAATTTGAGAAAAATATTGAATTTTGCCTTTAAAAATTGATTAAAGTTGACTCCGGTCAATATTTTTTGTAAACGGACTCGGACCCGTGATTTTGACGGTCCCGTAGGGTCCGTAGTAAAATATGGGGCTTGGACGTATGACCGAAATTGAATTCTGAGGTCCCTAGCCCGGGAAATAAATTTTTGAAGAAAATTATTAACTGAAAAATATGATGGTTTTTGGAAATTTAATAATGTTTGATATTATTGGTATCGGGCCTGTATTTTAGTTCTGGAGCCCGGTACAGGTCTGTCATAATATTTAAGCCTTATCTGTGAAATTTGGTGAAAAACGAAAGTGATTTGACGTGATTCGGACCATTGGTTGAGAAATTAGAAAGTTTGAACTATCTTGAAAATTTCATTAGTTTTGGTGTTAAATTCGTTGTTTAAGATGTTATTTTGGTGATTTGATCGCACGAGCAAGTCCGTATGATATTTTTAGACTTGTGTGCATGTTTGGTTTGGAGCCCTGAGGGCTCGGGTGAGTTTTAGATATGCTACGGAGTGTTTTGAGCCTTAAGGATATTGTTGGTGTGTTGCAGATCTGTAGGCTTCGCATGCGAGCACCGCATTTGCGAAGAATCATTGCATTTGCGATGATTGGGCTGGGTGGGGACCTTCGCATTTGCGAAGTTCATCGTCGCAATCACGACTTGCACAGTGACCGCATTTGCGAACAATTGTTCGCATTTGCGAAGGCAGCAGGACAGGCCAAGCTTCGCATTTGCGAACCTGTGATCGCAAATGCAATATCTGCAACTGTGTAAAACATAACTTAGACGGGATTTTGAACTTATTTCTCAAATTTTCAAACCCTAAGCTTCCATAGGTGATTTTTTAAAGAATAGTTCTTCCCCAAATCATAGGTAAACGATTTCTAACTCACTTCCTTCAATCTATTTCATCTTTTTACAAGATTTTATCACAAAATTTAGGGATTTTCATGGGAAATTGGGTTTTTGGGTGAAATTTGGGAATTTCAAAATTTGGGGAATTAGACCTCAAATTGAGGTCGGATTCCAAAACCAATTGCATATTCGGGCTCGGGGGTGAATGGGTAATCGGGTTTTGGTCCGAACTTCGAGTTTTGACCAAGCGGGCCCGGGGTCGATTTTTGACTTTTTGGGAAAAATGTTGGGAAATCTTTGATTTTGCATTGGAATTTGTTTCTTTAGCGTTTATTGATGTTATTAAGTTAATTATGGCTAGATACGAGTGAATTGGTGGTGGAATCGAGAGGTAAAGCGGTGGTTGAGCTTTGAAATACCCGTTGGCTTGAGGTAAGTGTTTGGTCTAAGCTTGACTTGAGGGATTAGGGATCCCCGACTTGCTTGATATGTGAGATATCATGTGTGTGGCGTTTAGGTGTGGTGACGAGTACCTATGCGCCGCCAAATTACTTGTTCAGCCTGTTTCCTTTCCCCCCGTTCCCTTATATTTTGCTTTCCTGCCTTAATTGCTACTTGCTTATCGATGCTTCCATGTCTAATTGCTTCATGTTAACTGTTGATTTTTCTATTGAAGTATTATTTGTTTCGTAGCTTCATTTTATTACCTTGTTGGATTATGTTTGTTATTGGTGCTTCATGGTACACCTAGGTTGGTCTCGTTGTATAGTTAAACTGGTGAAGTTTTACAGTCGTAGTGATATTCCAATGTGTTGGTTTGAGGAATAGGTGTTGTGGAGGATTTGAGTTGATTTTGAAACGCTTGTCTTTATCTTGTGATTGGTGCTATTATGTGTGTGTGTGTGTGTATATATATATATATATATATATATATATTGGGATCGGGTTGCACGCCGCAACATGAGGAATAAGGGTGAATGTGATTGTCTGGTGGGATCGGGTTGCACGCCGCAACAGGAGGAATAAGGGTGATATATTGAGGAGTAATAAGGGTGGACTGGTGGGATTGGGTTGCACGCTGCAACAAAGAGCAATAAGGGTGAATATTGATACTGTTGTTTATATGATGGGATCGGGATGCATACCGCATCAGGTGTTGTTATATATTCATTTCTATTGAGGTTCATTACTATGATGTTGAAACTCCCTTAAGGATTGGTTATAGCTAGTAGAATGACTGGGTTCCGTATTTCTTTAATGCAAGTTCTGGTTATATTTTATTCTGTACTTCCTTTCTGTTTATTATAAACTGTTGCAGGATAAATATATATTGTTACGCCGCGCCGTAGCCTCGTCACTACTTCATCGAGGTTAGGCTCGACACTTACCAGTACATGGGGTCGGTTGTACTTATACTGCACTCTGCACTTTCTGTGCAGATTCCGGAGCTAGTGGTTGATCGTGAGGTTGGTTGCTGTCACTGCTTTTCGGAGACCCAAGGTAGTACTGCAGGCGTCCTCAGGACCTGGCATCCCCTTCTATCTTTACTGCATTCTATTTTACTTTTCTTCAAGACAGATGTATATTTTTCTTTCGAACCAATGCTTGTAGTATTCGTAGACTGTTCCTGAGTTGTGACACCAGTTTCCGGGTGGAATTTATTTCGGTTTTCGCTATTACTATTAAGAAAATCATTTAAACTATTATTCTGTATTTATTTTCGCTGATTTACTTTTATTAAGTTTTAATTATTAAAAGATAAAAGAAAAAGGTGAAATATTCTATAA